GTGCTTTAACTCGCTGTGCCCCCAGGGAGGGCCCGCCCCCATCATTTTTTATGGAGATTTAATATGCATGAAGAAAAGTAAGTGTACATTTCCCACAATGTAAAGAACCCCACATAAATTCCACTTGGATAAAGAAACAGAATATTACCAGCACCTGCAAACCTCAAAAGTGACTTGGTGACTCTTAGTTGTCAGTTTCACAAATCAAGCAACATCCTGATTTCTATGCCCAGAATAATTTGTCCATAATTTTGAATTATATATATTGGAATGCTAAAATACGGACTCTTTGGTATTAAATTTTTGACATTCACTGTTTGCAACTCACCCACATAGTGTATACTAATATTAGCTTGTTTATTATGGTTGTTCTGAGTGTCTAAATGTACTATAATATTTTCTATTCTAGTTTTAATCTAGGAAATAGTGGATGGTAAGAAGTGACTGTAGTTATTTTTGTGGTTGTTGTTACATGTTTATTTATTTATGCATACAGAACTAGGGTACAGGCTAGAGGTGTGGGGGTAGTGAGAGGCTTCATCCAAGACAGAGTGGAAAGTAGAACAAACAGATCGACCAAATACACTGCTGAGGGTAGCAGTGGGCCAGTCAGAAGAGATCTGCCTCACCATGTGGGTCACCTCTGGAGCGAGCGGGGATAGAACTCATGCTGAAGTGGATTTAGCTTTTTAGTGCTGTGCTTTGACCTGCTGCACCACCAGGGAAGGGCCTGATTTTAGTTATTTTAAAGCTTATTTAATTTGAAGTTGTGGGCTGTTTCTGGGTGGGGTCTTTCAGATGTCTCAACTGAAAGTCTGTCATGTTTACCAAGACCTCTCTTCTTTGGAAGATAATAAGCTCCAACTTTTAACTCCCCATAACCATATTTCTGAGAACTGTGCTTACCTTCTTACTCTCTCAGCAGCTTTCTCTTATGTGTCCTGGCTCCTCTGCCTACCCATTCACAGGTTAGCAAATTGTATAAGAATGATTGTTTAAGGAAAACAAATAGCATAAGGAAGACAATTTGTCTGAGCCTCCCTTGTCTCCAGATCTGATCTACTCAAGTTCTGACTGCCATGGTAATAGCCCTGTTATTTCTATTCTGACTTTGAGTAGTAATAGTATCAGAAGTTAAGTTCCAAAATGAAAACATTTCTATTTTTATGGAGATGGATTTATTGATATTATCATGATGCCTGGCCATAGTATAAAAATGTTTTTGCCATTTTCCACACTAAATTCTACAACCATCAAAATTTAGAGTGCAATGTAAGTTGTCAAAACAAAATGAATAGAAAGAAAATTAAAAGAAGAGGTTGGTCACACACTGTTATTTTAAAAGAGGTTATACCAATTTATTTCAATGAGATGTGATTTGATGCTTGAGTTCTGTTATTAGGACATATAAGAAAAACATCCTATTTTTTTTTTTTAGAGTTTAATACAATTTTAATTGAAATGCAATATATACATATACACAAACAAAAGTAAAGCCATCATAAGTGCACAGAATAGTAGATTATCACAGAACAAGAATACATCCACAAATGTCTTAATATTTTAAATCAAATATTTAAACATGTAATAATTTAGTATAGCAATAACAAAACATTATATGTCAATACAAGTAATTTTTTTTATTACAAAGTTTATTTTTACAACATTTTGCACATTTTTTTTTTCCATCTCGATTGTAATCCCCGCGGGTTTCCCATCACCAAATCACCCTGTGCCACCACCATAGTCCCGTGCATTTTCCT